AAAAAAAAAACAAAAAATCAAGAATAATAATGTCCTTTGAGCGAAAAAATAAAACTCTTTTAGTAATTATTATCATTAATCTTTATTGGTTAAACTCGAAAAAAATCATTGTACATTACCCTAATACGCACGAACACAAATACATGAGTATAGTTAAAATTATTCTACGACGATTACAACTTGTTGGTTTTTTTGATTTAAAATTAAAAAATAAGGATTATTTTTCGTCCCTGGCCTTAACTTGAGCTTGGCGGAAAGTTCCCTAAAGAACATTTTTCCTTCAATTTATGTGTGAATAAGTTTGTCCGCTCCTCCTACTACCTTTTCATTCTTCTGGTCTTCAGGCGGATGTAAGTAAAGAATAGTCGAGGTTGGGTCTGCATCAGAAAGTAAGCAAGGTATAAGAGCAATTTTTAATACATATTTTAGTCTTTCCTCAACATTTGTCCCTGCTGGGGACCTGCTTCTCCAAGATTACGTCTATGACTTCGACTCTGTTGGAGAGCAAAATATCATCCATTGGGTGAAATGAATAGTTATACAAATAACGGTTGTGACTACCTTTAAGTGCCCCTGTTCGGTATCAAAAAAGTTAAGAAAATTTGCAAGTAGGTATTGCTTCCGTCGTACCATGGTCACTACATAGCTACTTACATATGTATATGGATGCCAGTCTTAGTGGCTCGCCGTTTTGCAGCATCAACACTAAATTGCAGAAGAGAGAGAGAGAGACATAACTGTTGTGGTTAAAATTCCCCTTATTCCACCAGCATATGTGGGCTTTGCATACTGCTAGAATTTGCTTATCATTCACCCAAATTGTTTAGGCGTCCAAGTTAAGTGTTTTTAGCGAGAAATCGGAAATTATGTAAGTAAATTCGTTGGCCAGTTGCGTTGCAATAAATCATAATAGTTGTGTGCGAGTGAAAATTCAATAGCCGTTGGATGGAATACAGCGTTTTTCGCTGTAATTAACAGCAAAATGGCGTCCAAATATATGCGATTCCTAAACATGTATAACCGCTTTTATTGCCATAATATTATTTCTCTGAAAAGCCGCTTAATATTAATTGGATGACGAATTGAATTTATTTTTCCAGCTAAGTATAAATGTGAACTAATTCTGATCCCTGTTTAAAGATTGGCTTTGCTGAAGTCAATATTTTCAATGGAGCCAGGAGGTTGACAATTCTGCTGATAAGATCTTTTTTAGTGGGCATTTGAAACCAATTATACTTTTAGCTATCGTATTATGTCTCTAGGAAGAAAATAACGCAGAACCATGGCGCTTGCGAATTCTAAAAGACGTGCAATTGGCAACTCGTGTTCTTATACTCGTACAGCTTACAAATAGGGCCCGGATACGTGACACCATTCTATAGCAGACTGTCTACTAATGTTCTAAATATATGTCATTTTCTTCTTTCCTTTCAGCTCACCGGTTTCATGTCGCGTTCTCTGCCACTGAGCATTGACACCTCCGAAGCAGTGAATGCCCACGATAATTCTGCTCAACACAAAACACAACCGCCCAACGTCGACGCTACTTCAACTTCCACAACAACTGTCGGCAGCAAACTCTTCAACCACGAGCAACATCAACCACACGAAGTCAACAACAATGCACTTGGACACCTTAACAGGGACGATGATTCTGCTGTTGCCTCGCACTCCCAGGGCTATGTTGCCGAAGTGGACAATGCTGCGGTGCTTCCGTACGACGAACACGACGACGACCAAGATCAGTCAGCGGAGACTCTGAATCAGCACACAAATTTCATTTTCAATTGGCACTCCAAGAACAGCGACATCAGCGCCATCGAACCACTACAGAAGCCTGACATAAATGTACTAACCATTGCCACGCTCTCCGATTTGCAGAAGCCGTTGCTCTTTGGATTGATCGCAGGTACTTTCATGATCACCTTGGTGCTGATTGCGTACAGGTGCTCGGTGGCACAGCAGCGTTTGGCCGACAAGGACATGCTCATAAGCGATGATGGCTTGCATGCAGTTGTAGTGTCCTTGCCGCCCGCTGCCGTGCTAGCTGCGCGCGCTAACAACAAAGTGGCGACACGAAAAGCCACGGAAGCCGCTCGGAACGCCTGTGGCGCTGGGGCGCAAGGTGCGACGTCACTAGCATATCAGCGCGGCAGCGATGAAGAGGGTGAGGAGCAGTACGAGCGCGGCGTGGAGGAAGTGTGTAGCAATCCGGCGATTTGCTCGAGAAACGCGCTCAAAGTGTAAGTGAATGTAGGCGAGTACGAAGTGTGTGGGCGCGCGCGCCGGTCAGTCAGCAAAAAAGGGGTGCTGGGGCGTATGAGTAACAAAATGAATTGATTGAGATTAAAACAGGAATTAAGTTACACACACTAAACGGAATGCGGATAAATGCATTTGAGAAGGAGGGAAAAAAATATTACCTTTAGCAAATTAAGCAGCATTAATGTAAGGCTACAACTAATATGTAAATTAAGCTACAGGCGGCAATTAGGCGGCCAACTAATCATTTATGATTTAAAAAAATTGTGGATGTTCTCGTTTCAACAACTTTTCGATAGACATGCCTACATTTAAGCAAACATAAATATTTAGCTGTACAAACAAACAAACAAATATTTAGTATAAATATGAGTGCACTTGCACCCGAAAACATATATTAACATTTAGGCTAAAAATCGATATTCATTCTAAATAGTCATTCGTTGCAAAATTATGCGTTTGTGTGATGCCACGTTAAATGTGGTGGTGCCGACGGCAGTTGAGGCGCTCTCTCGAACACATATACATACGTAGAGTTTAGTATAATTATGTAAAATTGCATAATTCATTATTCACAGTCAGTTGATTGCATTCATTTGCGTTTGAATTTGCTACAATTAAGCAATTAAGCGAGTGCTCTATTCTACGAATGCGTAACTAGTTTGTATGCGTGCGAGCGTGTAATAATTTGAATGTGCTTGTGCAAGTTTAATTACTAGAAATATCAACTGACAGCTGTGTGTGAGGGTGTGAATATGGAAAATGTGTATAAGATCTGAATAGATTTAGCTAAGTTTTGAGTGAGTTGTGCAGTTGTAGCGTGCAGAGTCGAAAGCACTTTGTATACATAATTTTAGGGCATTTTAATACTCAAATAATAAGTAAGTATGAAACCAGTTGGCAGGAGCTTCCTTCCAATGTTAAATTCTCAGAAAAGAGTAAAAGAAGGCAAAGGTTTGCCCCATTTTTTTCAACTGCTCAACGAAAGTATATACCTGATACCTACATATGTATGTAGCTAGACCGTCTGAGATCGAAAACAATATAATTTTTGCTCGCCTACAGACCCTCAAGGACTCCTATTTGTTGCTGAGCTTAGAACTCACACATTTCCAAAGCCACTTTTATGGCTGAAAATAGGGGTAATACAACTAGATGCGGACGAAGGAAGCAAGATTAATATACCTACAAAAATAATTTAAAAGCTTGCAATGCTCGATTAGCCTGAAAATGGTGACGGAGTAGACAATGCCTTGAGTACAGCTGAGCTTTAATTACCTCCTCAACAAATTTCCACCACGTAGTTGATGACCTTGGGTATTGCAAATAGTAGCTTGGTATACCGTGGTATATTTCTCAAGAGAGCTGCGAATACTTTCACCGTTGTTTTGGATATAAGCTACAGATACTGACTCTGTGTCACTTTCGGAGACTTCAACAAAGATTGGAGAATGTGTTTGCGAGAGTTTAGCGATGGCAGAAGCCCCAAGGTGTTGTAGTTAGTGGAAGTTCCTATATAGAACACAGCCATATTCCTGTAGAAAGCAGCAAACAGCCTTAAAGGATCACCCTTCATCTTTCCTTTGCACAAGAGTTCGCTCAGGGGAAAATATATCCTTGAACTGAGAATCGCTGAATTTGACCTCAGTGCGTACTGCGTATCAGCTTTCGATGTGGGATTTTATGAGAGCTTTGTGCGAGCTTAAAGTCCGTTCTTTGACCTGTATTACATAAGCTTTTGATATGCTCAACGCCAGAAAATACCACTTTTTCCATTTATCTTTGCACAAACTGCCAGCTGCTTTCATTTCTGAAGCATTCGACTAGTTGTATTTTCTTTTTTAAATACTTTAAAAGTGCAATCGATTAAAAACCATAAAAAAAACAGAAAGTGAAAACGATATTTATATTAAGGATTGTGTATCTTAGAGTATTTATTACGTTAGGAATGTAGTGGTAAACTTAATTGCTCAATTTGTAATTTGATAACTGCTTTGCTTTTCAAAATAAATTTTACTTCGGATTTAATGCTGCTTCTCTAGTGGTAAAATATTTTGAAAAGCATACGGTAGTTAAACCATTAAAAAAAAAAAAATCCCGTGACTTCCTTTCACAAACGCACACAAAAGCACTTTCTTCCAAGCACCAGTATTTACACAATCCTCTTCCTTCCCCTCAATAACAGTACATCTAAAAATTTGAATTTTTCCAAAAAAAAAAAAATTTTTAAATCAAAGCTCTGCAGTATAAAACATAAATTTTTCTTAATTATAATTTTTTTTTAATAATTATTCTAGAAAAGCGCAAAATCAAAACTAAGCGAATTTTTTAGTGAAAATTTTCAGGAAGAATACGGAAGGAATTTAACAGCGTATTTGTTTATACATGTGTGTATTGGTGTGCAAAAAGTAATTTAAAAAACAAAAACAAGAAAAAGCTTATACGACCTCAAAAATTATTTACATTTACCAGGCGACGGAGGGGTGGCGGAGATGGGAAGCGTTGGCGCTCGAAAAGGTGGTGTGCGGGCGGTTATGACGGCCAGACATTTGTATTTGTTTATTGTTTGCGAAGCGCGCTAGGGGTTTATAAGAAACATGTGTAGCTGCAAGCGTGGTGTTTTTTTGCCATTCCTTAAATCGATTTTGTAGATTGATCGACTATTTTCTTAAAATCATTTTGATTTTAAATCTTCAGCCGCACACCACCTAATAAATACATAGGCGGCCATCGTTGTGCTCCACATCCCATACGCAAACATTTTATACATAGAGCAAACACCATTTTGGCATAAAACTCAAAACTTTAGGCATATAAATTATAGGACAAAAATTATAAATTTTGTAAAACAAAAATTAAATTTAAATCAAAATTCAAAATTTAACCGTAATTGTATTAGTAAAAAATGTAAAATTACAAAACATAAGTAAATACGCGTATATTTGTACATTAAATGTGTGTGTAAAATTGATGTGAATTTGTGTTTCCGCTAGTGCAAAAAACACGAAAACAACAACAAACACAATGCTTCCTCTAATAGCAGTGTGGCATGTTTTTTGCAAAGCAACCACGAAAACACAAATCAACAGCAAAATTTAAGCGAAAATCAAAATAATACGAAAACAAGAAGAAGAAGAACAACAACAACAACAACAAAATGAGCACGTCGATATTCCTTATTAAAAACAAACAAACAAACATCAACAAATTTGTATGTATGTAATGTGTGAATAAAGCGACATAGCACTTTCCACACAAACCAATAAAAGTTGAGGAAAATTTTCGAAAATTTTTGTTGGTATGCGGTGCGAAAAATGCAGAAAACGCTGCTTAGTTAAGTTTTTTCTAGAAATTTTTTCCTTCGTTTGCTTTAAATGTCTTTTGCTTTTTTTTTGTGAATTTTTTATGTAAATGAAAACAAAGAGTAAATCAAAGTAGAGAAAAAAGTAATGCAAATATTTCGGCTAAATAAGACAAAATTATATGTGAAATAAATTAGTGAATATTTAAATAAAAATAAAAGCGAAAATTAGCAGACTAAATAACTATACATAAATAACAGAAAAATGGAATTTGTTGTAGAGAAAAGTTAACCAAATTGTTGCACAAACCCAACCATAGTCAAAACAACCCCAATCGCAGTCAATTGAACAACACGGAGGCAAGCAGTCGTCTGGGTTAAGTGAGAACATTTACGTCGTTAATTACACTGTACAAAAAGATCTCTAAGAAACACGTAAACTTATACTGATCATGGGTCCTGGGTTCTGGGTCCTGGATCTACATACATATGTGACAATGCTAAGGACTAAACCGTGTTTGTAAAATTAGTGCTTTCAACTAAATGTTAAACCCATTTGAGTTTTTCAAAGTCCTGGCAATCCTAACCAAACACTTATTTGTGTATTTATATTTTATTTTATTTGTCCTCCAATTTCTTGTTTGTTTTCTAAACCTCATTGAAGGTAACCAATCGAACTGCTTGCCTCCAATAACTTGTCCAAGATGCATTGCACCAACCAACCACGAACCAAACTACTAAAGTCCAATGCACTCACTACCTGTTCCACGCAATTCATTAAATCCTTTCTCCTAGTGGAAGTGAATACAGCGAAGCAAATGAGCAAGAAGAGTAGAATTGGGCTCGAAAGCTACAATTCTTTGCCTTAGTTACTGGAAGCGTAAGAAGTATTAAATGATCAACACATATAGACACACGACCATTTCATGCAAATTATATATAAGTATACATATATAAATATGCATATGTATGTAGTAAACATATGTAAATATGGTTTTTTGTGTATTTGTAAATACCAATGAGTGCACATATGTGGTCCGTAGTTACTTTTGCATTTTACCGTAATCAAAATCTCTTTCATTCATTCAACTATTTACATACAAACATACATACATAGATAGTATTAATATTATTTACGTGACTGCATACGCTTCTCAATTCAACTCATACTGTATGTCTGTCTATGTTTAAATATATATTCGTATGCCTACTACTACACATTTACGCTTTAACGGTATTTAAACGCTCATTCAATGCAACGCATTCATAAATGTACATATGTTCGTATGTATGTATGTATTAAATATGCTTGCAACATCAATGCTTATAATGCTCTCATTCATTCATTCATTCAATCATCCACATTGGCAATCATTTATTCAGCAGATTTGCCATCATTCTTATTAACATTCAATAATTCATTTAGCCGCATTCGCATTAAATATTTCTCCATATGTATGTATGTATGTCATTGCGTGCAATAATCAGCTCATTCATTCAAGCAATTCATCTCAGATAGTTAAATAGATAGCATTAACAAGTAGGTTATGAATACATAAATGAAAAACTACATATTACCACTACATAGGAACTCATGAATAACGAATTACATAGGTACGCATGTATGTAGATATGTATTCCATATGAGATAATATTACTTTGTAGCAAGACATATACATATAAATATTAGATATGCATAAATAAATTCGATTAAAATAATAAAAGTAGCGACACACATTCATACTAAATATGTAAATAGTTCTTAAGATGTTAGTAGGTACGTTATGTACATACTAAGTACATATACATACATACAAACAATATTATGGTGTAAGCAGTTATATCGAAGGTTATTGAGCAGTATTTAGTTGCGAGAACAGCTGCAGGCAAATGAAACTAAACATACATACATACACAAAACTATCCTACAAATACAAATGCAATAGAAAATGAGTTAAAATGTTGCAAATGGCTGGGGTATTGGGTCAATTATAGATTTGGACAGGAAATTTATTATTTATTTACATAAATTAAATAAATTTCGATAAGAATTCCATATTAAGTTGGGTGCAATAGCAAGCAATAAATTGTTAAAATGGCAGCAATTAGTTTAACTAAGCACGCCGGCCATATTTCCATAGGAATTTTTCCAAAGGCATTCCAATGGGCAATTATTGAAATGAATATGTCTCTTACCTGCAGTAGAGATTCGCAGCCGCTTTGGAAGCTTCTCGCAGGTAAATGACGGCGAATGTAATGGAATTTACTTGAAAGGGGTTTCACTACTCCGAAAGCGACACTTGATTGTTTCAGGGGGGAAATTTTAGACCAAAGTTTGGGGGATTCTACAATATTCTTCTAGGTTCCAAATTCAGTTGGTAGGTCGCTCAAAGGTACTTCTCCAGTAATTAGCAAAAAAACAAAATCAATGACCAAAAGTTAATGCAAATTTGATACGCCGTTAAAATAATGTATTTTTCCTCTGCCAACTGAGCGATTGGCTAGATTTATTAATATCTGCTACCAGGTGGGTTTTTAACCTTAAAACTATCTCTCATTTACAGTAAATTGGTAAAGAGTTGTTGTAACCATTTTACCATTTTTGTTCTCTGGTTAAGCTACGCCGAATTAAGTGGCAGCTTCTTCTGAAATGGTACTTAGCACCGTTTTATCAAGTAGCTTTTAAAATTCATCTGTCCATTAAACACATTTTTTTTTTCAGAAAAAAATTTAACACACATATCGCAAATTTTCTTTTCCAAATTTTCTTTTTATGCAGAAATAGAAATAGAGCATCTAGATAAATTTCTGCATAAAAATTAAAATTTTGAAAAAATTTCGCTCAAAATGGGCCACACACAAACAAAATTAATAAGGCAGGATTTAAATGCATCCGCAATAGAAACGAGATCATCAATCAACAATTTTCAAGGAAACCAACATTTCCATAATGGATGCTTTGGGTGCCAATTAGCTATCATAAGAAATGTTTGCTTCTTCATCTCCTGCACAGATTTACATGAAACTATTGCAGAGTTTATAGAAATGCTCGATATTCTACAGTATCAACACTTCCTTAGTTGTTATCTATTTAATTACATAGTCTGTGGCTTTATTGTCTGCAACAAAAGCATTACAGTGGGTTGGAAATTCGGAGGATTCAGTCTCGTTTTCACAGCGGGGGGTTAACTCAGATTCGGCAGTTAACTTTAAAGAGAGCGAAACCTCAGTCAGTTAGAATAATGCTCAGAATTATTATGTATGCAAATATTTTACATATTTCATTCATATTTCATTTGATAAAAAATTTTAATATATAGTTCTCTGTTACTAAAGGAAAAATATTTATCTTTGAAATGTAGAGGGGGTATTTCCTGCATTTTTACCTTAAGTTCCTAGGCTTTCTTGCTTTGGCTCCAAGAGCTTAATAACGCAGAATTTCGGCAATATATTTGCTAATCTGACCATTTGCAACTTTTTAATCGGCAAACAAGTTCAACTTACGAAACAATCAATACAAAGTGGATAACTACAACTATTTACTACAGCAAATAGGCATACAAAACCAATACAAATAATAACGCTAACTACAACTACAACTACAAATACAACAAAAACATTATTAGCCCTGCTTAAATTTGTATTTATTAGCTACATATATTTAGAATAAACTTAATTTAAGCAGAAGTAATTATAAATACGACATAAATTAACAAATACCTATTAAAATAAGGGCATAGATTTCGATGTAGATGGCTAAAGCTAAAATAACTACTATAACCAATAAAGAAGACTGTAAATACTAATTTTATATCTCCACGCATAAATAACTAAGGAACTAACTGAGAGTAGGTAAATAAATAAATGTCTTCAATTACACAAATAACAAACAAATACAAATTCAGTTAAATTTTGTTTGCTCAGCGACAAGTTATGCATTTTAGTAAATGAAACAGGAATTTAATGCAAATCTAAGGCAGTTCAACACACACCCATACTTACATACATTTGCTCCTAAAAAGATTGCCACTTTCAAGCTGAAAGGACATTAAAACCTATGTGCTGTAAGGTCATGCGTGTGTGTGCGCATGGCAGGAGCTTTTAGTGGCACTG